AAAGATCGAATGGTAGTTTGGTAATATACTAGAAATCACTAGGAAATCACAGTGAGATAACTAGGAAAACGATGGAATTATTTTACTGCTCGATCACCTACTCTACCGCCTGATGTACTTCTTTATCGTCCTAGGGCGCTAAAGTGCTACTTTACGCCCGCGAATCCGGGCGATAAAGTGACACTTACGTATAGGGAATCCCTTCCATTTATGAATATGATAACCAAATGGTATTGAAACATCCCAACATATTTTAAACTAAAAGAATGAAACAGATATTCCATCGTGTTGTACGATTTCCTCAAGTGTTTTGAGAATATCTCGAACATATGAAGTGGCCAAGAAGAACGTATGAAGCACCGCTAATTGATGGTTCATCATTTCTTGCTTTATAAAACACTTTGTTTTTCATACGATTCCATGATTCCTGATGAAATTGATGGTAATTTCGTGATGCTGTTCGATGAATTCATCTGTTCGGACAGACAGATTGAATTTCTGTTTATCATTTCTTCTCCAGAAATAGGTTGTAGTGACATTTCCTTGCATCACAAAATAACTTTTAAATTCACCAGGAAGCATGGAATCGCGTATAAGCAATATACAAACTGTTTCATAGGTCTGACTGAAGAACTGCTGTGCACTGTGCAGGTTCTGTCAGGCAGAGGAAGAAACAGCAGTACACATACTTTGCCACTGTAAGGGCTTGTCAAGACTAAGGTTTTTTACGCTGGGTGAGGAAAAACCAGGAGCCCAGAGATACACAGGAGATCTGAAAGCTAGCCTATGGAGTCTCATAGAGAAGGCGGGGCTAGCCGAAGAACTCTAATCGATTTTGAGGGCAGACACAATAGATCTGAAAAGGTTGCAGTGTGGAGGCAGATAGCCCGGAGGCCCTATTTCAAATCTAATCTAATCTACAAACTGTTGAATAATAGAAACATTTATAAACCTTTAATTTGAGTTACTTTTCTTTGACTTCAGGATATTTCATATTTATAATACAACTTCTAGTTCCTGGTCATTTCTTCATGACACGTATAGTGCTGTACACTATTTTATAAATTGTTCAGTTAGAGAACATACCTATCAAGAAACATACCTGTCGACGGTTGAGGTGTCTACCACCAGATATTGTTCTTGTTTTCATTGATAGAAAAATTGAATTCTATGATCCTACTACCTGACCCGGTGAACGTTGTTATGCCATAAACAATATTTCTCGACCCCAAAAACCCTTAGATACTAATTTCGAATAAAATCGGACTATAATTACAGGACTCGTCCCCTATATTAGATCCGCCATCTTGAATTTCCAAATTTTGGTGAAAGAATCATAATCTCTGACCACAAAGATATACCAATTTGAAATGAAATCAGACCATGAAACTCGTTTGCCATATTGCATCAGCCATCTTAAATTTTCAATTTGAAAAATAGTTCTCATACCTACCGAATACGCAAAAATATTTTTATACGAATCGGTCAAGCCGTTTCCGAGGAGTTTGGCAACAAACAACGTAACAGAGACAGGAGAAATCTAAATATTAAATTAGATATTTGCATTTTGAACAAAATGACTCAGCCAATTTCAACTTCCGGTTCAACCAAAAACAGCAGCAACTTGATTACTTTCTTCAATCAACTGCCGAACCTCATCATTAAAAATGAATCAATTGAAAAAAAAAATAGAATTGAGAACCTCACGGTACAACATTGCCTTGAGTAGAAAATACGATTTTTTTCAAGTTGTTATGGCCTGATCATATTATAATTCTCATTATTTGTGGAAGATAATCACTGGGCCCCTCATAAAATATTGCTATCATTGGGAAATTCTCTCTAGGTAATCATCTTGATTCACTCTCAAAAGATTTTATGTGCGACCAATAGGTACTTATCGTTTCCAAATCTTAAAAACTTTTGAATGATCGGCTCATAACCACGGAAAGTTATTTCTTTCTACTTCTTAGTGTGATTCTGTATCAGACAGGAACCATTACTTGTGAAAACGGTGTCTTTGATAATAAATGTGAAGCGGAATCTGATATTCCAAAATAATGAATGAAATATTTCAATTAATAGCACCGAGTTCATATTGAAGTCATATTTGGCCATATCTTGATTTGAGGATTCCACTATTGCTCTTACGGATCATTTTGAATCACCCTGTAAATGCATATGGAATTTTGAGAGATCGAAAAAAATAATGTCCCGGAACTATATGATCTCTGGAATATACTAAAATATGAATTGATATTTTTCAAAAATTCATCCATCATTAGAAAGAGGACATTATATATGATCGATTTGAGCTATATATAAACGATTCAAAAATAGTCCTGGAACTAACCGTTAGATATATATATATATATATATATATATATATATATATATATATATATATATATATATAAAACTAATAGTTCAGTGGGGATGCAGCAAAAGTAAATGTGTAATCATTCAAGTTTGTCCGAGCTTTCGGAAATGTATATTTCCATCATCAGGGTAGACTACAAAATTGGAAGTATTATAATTAATTCACAATATGGAAGAAACTTTGTCACTAACACTTATTGAAAATGGTTACTCTGTTGTGAAATTTGTAAAATTGTCAACATTAACATACTGATGAGACGAAAAACAAGTTGGAAGAAATTATATAGTTATAATCATGATTAGATAAGAGGCTACTTATTACCTCATGAATAAGTTTGAATTTTCAAATCCAACGTGGTTGGAACGATTTTAACAAATCTGCAGAATATAGGTTAGCATGCTTCTTCTTCTTCTCTTCCTTAGGTTGACATGATCTTTTCGACATCCGGCTACGTCGTGACATCCAAGAACGGATGTCACAACGTTTTCAATGTTTAATAGTCGAGGAGGGTGGTGAGGAGGTGTAGGAGAAGTTTCAGGTGGATGTCAAAATGAAGGATTTTAAAAATTTTGTATATTTTAGTTCTGAGGTGTATTCGTATAGATGGCGCGCAGGAGCACCGGCACTGTATATTTAATATACAATTTTCAATTTCACTTGACGTTCTCTGTGACATCCACACATGAAGAGTGTGTATATAGGTTATTATATATCTTATTTGCCGTACTCTTCGACATCCGAAAATTGGCAACATTGTGAACAGTTCTACTTCAGTTGTCTGTGAATTTTGTTTCGATATAGGCGGTCATCGAAAGGTAGTAACGTAAAAATCTTGTATATTTCAGCATTGACTATCATTGCTTACAGTCATCGGTTCGACCTCTGAACATTTTAAATGACACCTGCCTTCAGTAGACTGTGCAGAGAGGGATAATAATTCTCATAATAAGAACAAATCATTCCCTTTTTTTGCTGGTGTTGTTCATTTACTTCGTTATTCCTGTCATACAAAAGAATTGCAAGAAATAAGAAGGCATCTACCTGATATTAGGAATAATGAAATGAAAAATTATTGATTGGTTATAAATATGTTTGTATTCTGAAAATAATCATTGAATATGAAACCAAGCAGGAGCGGATCCAGGCAATGTTTGGGGGGGAGGGGCATAGAAGGACGGCTCATTGATATTAGCAAGAAAGAGGAATTTTCATTGGTACCTTCTGAGACAAATCCTTTTTTATTATAAAGATTGATTCTAGTAAACATGAAATCTTATTTAGTTTCCTACCATGTATCAGAATTCCATACAGGGTGTTTCTTAAATACGGTACGAAACTTCATAGGTCGTTGAAAAAACTTATGAACATATGTCCGTAGTTGCTTCGTTTCTGAGATACAGGGCTTTTGAAGTTGAGAAAACGGTATTTATAAAATATCATGAATATCCTCCAAACGGATTAGGTTTGGATTTTTGTACAGCCATTTGAAGTAATGAGGCGCCTATTCAGCCCTAACTAGATTGAAATTATCAGGTCCAGTGGTATCTCAGTAGGTTATTGATTCAATATTCATGGCAAATATCATTGTACGCCACTCTTTTTGATAGTTTTGATATTCTTATTGGATTGTATGATTTAAAACACAACCAGACTGAATTTTACTATCATGAAAGCTTATGCAGAGTGATCATGAAAAAATTCAATTAATACTCCCAACTTCAAGGCCCTGTATACCAGAAAACAAGCAACTCCGGACATGAATTCATAGGAACTGTTTTTTCTTCAACTACCTAACGAATAATCCTCTGAAGTTTCGTACCAGAGTTAGGAAACACCTTGTAGAGACACACACGAGTTTTTTCTGGTATTCAGAATGATAACATTTTTGAATAATCATGCGGTTCGCCAGAGGGAAGGGTTCATGGTCCCAACGCTCGTCCTCCAGGATTCACCCCTTGAAGCGAGTATAGTTTCGACGACAAGCTCGTAGATTGAAAGGTACTGGTAATAAAAAAAAACATCGTTGGATATGAGACGCTGATTGATTTCAGATGAGGGAATGAAAAATGCAGATGCTTAACCGCAAATTTTTCCCATCGAATTGAACACATAGTGCGAAAAATTTGTATTTAAATGATTTCCAGTGATTTCCTAATATGCGAACAGGATAACTCAACTTTCATATCTAACAAAACATTATTTCAGTACACTCCACTGAAATCTGGTCTCCGTAATGTTATTTTTCATCATCCATTTTTCATCATCTCTTTATCATTATGCTAGATCATTGTACAAGATGATCAAACTTTAATGACTCATCCTCTAGAAATCGATAGATCGTGATGTAATAATAATAGTATCGCTTTCTATGAACATATAATGCTATGGAGCGGTTCGTTATTGAAATTACATTGGAATTCAATTTTTTCAATGAAAATATTTCAATATTGTTGATAGATTCACCGAGGGGTCATCCACTCGGTCCAATACGTATACACTCAGCGTCCAATCCCATTCCAATATCACAAGTCTCGAACAAATATGTCAAAGTCCAATTCGTCCATTCTGGGACCAACTCGTCCATTTCTGGTCCGATCTGGGGTGAAATTTTCATTTTGTCCTATTCTGTCCAATCCGAACTGTTGCCAATTGATGTTATTTCAATTCTGCGCCAATCGCCAATCTGAAACAATCGATTCAATTTGGTCCAATCTCAAGCAGTAATTAGGTCCAATATCATCCAAATCTCACACGAATATGAACGATACTAGTCCATTCCGTCCATTCTGGATCTAATCCGTCCATTTCTGGTTCAATCCTGGGTCGAAATGTCCGATCTTGGCTCATTCTGTCCATTCCGAACTGTTGCCAATTGTCAATCTAAAGCAGCCGGTTCAATCCGGTCCAGTCTCAAGCAGTATGTCCTATTCCGACCAATATTGACTTTTTTCGATTGATTGTGTTCAGTTCAAGTTCATTATCGTCCAATCCAAATAAATTAGGTCCAGGGTCGTTCGATCCCGTCGAACAGCAACAAATGCAGTCTTCGTGTACGTTTTTCGAACGAGTAGATGGCCCCTCGAGATTTACCTCTGAAATTTTGTAGGAACATTGAGGGATCAGTATTCTTGAATTGAATCCTTGTTAATATATTGCGATCGAAATATAGGATTCATGGCGGTCCCCATTCAGAGTATGTAATAAGAAGTCGATAATAGAAAAGACGCCGGAATGTCATCTGGTCCTGGACCAGTGTTTTCAAGTGATCTCAGCGCTTCCAGAAATTCTGCCTTCGTTATTGGCTCGTTTATTGGATCGTGATTGCCTTCAATTGCAATCGGTGTCGATTCTTGAGTGAGTTTGTGGGTGAGAAATTCTTGATCGTAATTCTCATCAGTTGGATTTTGCTCATTATATTCAGCGAGTACTCCTGCTATGTCTTCTTTCTGAGTGATGATGGTGCCATTCTTCTCTACTGCATTTATTCCGTGGGGTGTTTCAATTCCATTTTCTTTACTTTTTTCCATACAGAAGATAGATGTGTGCTGCTGTTGATGCTCTGAACATATTTCCTCCATGAATTCCTCTTACTTCTTCTCGTAATTAATTGTATTCGTGCTCTGTGTTCTTTGAAGTCGATTTTATGTCCGTCTGATTTGGTTTTTTTCTGTCTTCTCAAAGCAGCGTTACATGCTTTCATGGCTGTAGCACATTCTCCTTTCTACCATGGAACAGCTTTGTTTTTCCTTATGTATTTGGTATTCCCTACTGATTCATTGGTGGCGATTGTGATTATATTATTGAAAGTCACAATTATATTGTTTCGTCTATGTAGTCTGTAATTTCTAGTCTGGGAATATTGTCTTCTATGATTTTCGTAAAGAGATGTCAATTCGCCTCATCTAGTTTCCATCTCTGAGTTGGTTTATCGTTGTCATTGTTTCTTATTGAGGTGTTGTTTATGATGATTGGGTGATGATCACTTTCATTTAAGTCATCAAAAACCCTCCATTCTTATAGAGCGCTAGGAGGTTAGGGTCGCATGCAGTTAAATCTAGAGCTGAAGAGTTTCCTGTGGCGGAGTTTAATCTTGTTTCTGTTCCATCATTCAAAAAGGCGAGATTTACAGTGGTTAATATGTTCTCTATTCTTCTCCTTCTGGGGTCAGTATAGTTCGAGGCCCAAATGATATTATGTCCATTGAAGTCCCCCACTATCAAACGTGGAAAATCTATCAGCACATTTGAGTCATTTTCACTTATGTCGGAATTTTGTGGAATATATATATATTGCATATATTTTTTTTTGTTGGAGCAGAGATGCTTACTGCTATCGCTTCTAACTTTGTTGTTAGTACTACTATGTGTGCGGAATTGGAAGAAACCCTTGAAATGTCTTGAGTGGTGTGTTTTATTTTCACGGAAGTGGGTTTCTCGAAGACAAAACATATCTGGAGAATATCATGTGAGTAATATTTGTAGCATGTTTAAATGGATGTAATATCCATTCGGATTTCACTGTGAGATAGATTTGAATTCGATTCGAAAAAAAAGTGATGGATGAAAGTGAATCAGAGCAGTCCCAGATAGCACACACTCGCCTAAGGTCATCCTCAATGTGTCGCCAAACGCCTGGAGAGGACGTTCTATTTTCTACAACCTAAGAACATCATCAGGCGTTAATTCAGAGCTGTAATTGTCCTAAATGAGTTCTTTCAGTGACAGCCTGAGGATGTAAAGAATTTCGTGCCTACGGACGTCTTCAGATGACATTCCATGAAATAACGAAGTCATCGAAGACAAAAGGAAGAAAAAGAAGAACTAGAATTGAGGTTATGTCTCATGATAGTCATGATTTGTTCAAGATACATCATAATATATTAATGATTATATCATAATTATTAGAGTATTCATTGAATACCTTCATCAAATTTCTATTTCACAAAATGATTGCGAGAAGAACTTATTGCACAGAATTGAAAGATAACAATAACAAAAGGAAGATAATCTCTGTTGATGACATTTCTCTCAGGTAGCAAGAAACAATGGTGAGTAAATACTAAATAAAATCATTGATAGTACCGGACATGAAATATTGATACATTATTTATTGTTTCAGGAGGTTATTGAGAACACAAACTTGATGATATCATCATAGCAAACATGTTTTATTCCAAGATAGCTTTGCTTCTCCGGAATCGATAAAATATTGTATGGAAGCTTGAACTTTCAGTATGAATTCAATAAAGGTAGGTACCTGAATCAAATCATTGATATAGTAGGTACTAGACATGAAATGTTAATAGGTTAATTATTTGTTTCAGATGAAGTTATTGAGAACACAAGATTGATGATGTCATCAGAGCAGAGATGTTTCATTCCAAGATATTTTGGCTTCTTCGAAATCTATGTGAGATTGCGTATGCATGTTTGCACTTTCAGCATATTCAATAAAGGTAGGTACATAAATCAAATCATTGATATAGTAGGGACTGGAACATGAAATATTAATAGGTACATTATGTAATAAAACTGTAGTATGTTAGTTTTATTATTTATTTAATAATGAAAGTACGTTAACACGTTTATCTGTCTATAATTTATTAATGACAGTGATCTTCATTATATGTCAAATGTCCTTCATCTGTCATGTCAGTCATGTCAGTTATACAGTGTTGCCACCATATTATTACATCTTCCCTTTTTTGATAAAAGAAGTTGAAATATGATAATTGGCAGGTGTTTCTTTTTTCTACATTTCTTCTATCAATCGTCTTGGCTTTTTTGGCATTCTACTTGATCTTTCTTGAACCTCTGAAACTTCTTTCCCCATCATTTCTGGTTCTACTTCCTTCTTCGACTTTCTTGACATCTCTTGAACATCTGAAACTGGTTTCTCTGACGATTCTCTCTTTTCTTCCCTGTTCCGATTATCAAGATGATCATGGTCACTTTGATTGGGTAACTTGGGTACAACAACAGATGGTCCGGGTTGAACTTCTGCTTGAGATGGTCTCAAATGTCTTCGATTTCTCTCTAAAATTTGACCTTTATTTGTTTCCACCAGGAATGATCTAGGTCTTGGGAGTTCTTTGATTATTTTTCCACCAATCCACTTCTTGGGTGCTTCTTGGAGAATGATTTTATCACCAGCTAATAAAGATTGTGTTGTCCTAGTGTTCTTGTCAAAATAGGTTTTCTGTTTATTTCTGAGTTTCATCAACTCTTCCTTAACATCTGTCGGATTTTTAACTTTTTGATCTGGACTTAATGTTTTGTCATGTAATATCAAGTTGTTGCGTGTTGTTCTGTTGAATAGTCTTTGTGCAGGTGATCCCAAGTTATCATTTCTTGGAGTATTTCTTTGACTAAGAAGAGCTTCGTATATGTCACTGTTATCTTTCTCACATTTCTTTATGAGATTTTTGGCAATGGATACATATTTCTCTGATAGTCCATTTGATTGTGGGAAGCAAGGGGATGATGTTTGATGATTGATGTTCCAGTCTGTAACAAACTTTTTGAAGTCTCTGGAGCTGTAGTGAGGACCATTATCAGTTTCTAGTACGCGGGGAATCCCATGGATGGAAAACCATTTTTTCAAAATACTTATTACTTCTTTAGAGCTGCCAAACTTGAGTTTTTCAAAATCATAAAACCCAGAATAACTGTCACAAATCAAAAGATAGTCATTTGAGCCTATTTTGAATAAGTCAGAGCCTGTGATTTCCCAGGGTGATGAAGGTACTGGTTTGAGCAGTAATGGTTCCTTTACATTTGTATGTTGCATTGATTGATATACAGAACATTTGGATACAAAATCAATAATTTGTTTGGTCATTCCTAGCCAAAACACAGATGATCTTGCTCTTCGTAGTGATTTGTCTATGCCATGGTGACTTGCATGTACTAATTTGAGTATACGAGGAACACAACTAGTAGGTATCACTACTTTATGTCCATTGAAAATTAGTCCATCTAATACAGATAATTGATCCCGAAATGTCCAATATGGTTTCAGAATGTCTGGTACTTCTTTTATACTTGTTGGCCATCCTTGGTTGATGACATTCTTCAAATTTGAGAGCTCATGGTCAGTAGAAGTTTCATCTACTATTGATTTTTGTGCCTCGTCAGTCGCTGAAAATAAGGTCTGTACTTCCAGTTCTTCTTCTTCTTTACTTGATGACAAGATGCAGTCTCTACTCAGTGTGTCTGCAATAGGTACTTCTGAACCCTTTTTGTACACAACTGTTGGATTGTATTGAAGAACGTCAAACAATATTCTTTGTAGTCTGGGGGGTGCTGCACATATTGGTTTCTTAAATATAGTTTCCAACGGTTTGTGATCCGTTTGTACTATCAATCTTTTGCCATATATGTGAGCATGAAATTTTTGACATGCTATTCTTACTGCAAGAGCTTCCTTCTCAATTTGTGGGAAAGACTCTTGAGTTTTAGTGAGTGCCTTGGAGGTGTAAGCCACTGGTTGGTCATCTTGTAACAGTACAGCACCAACTGCTTTTTGACTGGCATCACACTGTAAGGTTACCTCACTATTTACATTGTAATATTTGAGTACTGGTGGAGATTTCAGCACATTTTTTATATTCTCAAATGCCTTTTCTTGATTTGAGTCCCAGTAAAAATCTACATCTTTCTTAATGAGTTCTCTCATGGGAGCTGTCAATTCAGACATTTTTGGTATGAATTTTGCTAGATAATTGAGCATACCCAAAAGGCGTTGAACTTCCTTTTTCGTCTGAGGTGTTTTCAGGTTATGTATAGCTTCTGTTTTCTCTTTATCTATTTCTAACCCTTTTTCACTGAATAGATGTCCAAGAAATCTGACTTCCTTCACACAAAATGTGCATTTTTCTTTGTTAAGCTTCAAACCTGCTTGTTTCAGAATTGTAATCACTTTTTCTGTGCTTTTCTCCAAATTTTCTTTTGTGTCTGCATAAATAAGGATATCGTCCATGGAGTTCTCTGCATTCTCCACATCTTTGAGTAGTTCTGCTAGGATCTGAGTAAAAACTTCTGGGGCTGAGCATAATCCGAATGGTAATCTGGTGCAACAAAATCTTCTCCATGGTGTAGAGAATGTCAAATATTTTTGAGAATCTTTAGCCACTTCAATCTGCCAAAAACCTCTGGTACAATCCAATAGAGTAAAGAATTTTGATCCATTTACTCGGGAGGCAATTTCTTCTACTGTTTTGAGTGGGTAGTGTTGTCTTGCAATCTCCTTATTTAGTTCTGATGGATCAAGACATATTCTTATCTTGTTTTTCTTTTTCACAATGACCATTGGACTGGAAATAGGTGTAGGTTCAGTAATCTTCCGAATTACTCCTAACTCAACCATTGTATCTAACTCTTTTTTGACACTATTTCGAATGGAGTGTGGTATCACTCTTGGTGGTCGATTTTCAAATTGTGCACCTGGTTTAAGATCAATTTTGTACTCATACCCTTTCAAACAACCAAGACCTTTGAAGATGGAGTGGTCTTTGTTGATATGTATTTGGTTAATTGTTTGATCTCTTACATTTTGTACAACCAGTTTCTCTTCACTGCAGGTGTATTTTCCTAACACTGGTGTTAATATGTTTTCTTGAACCACTTTAAACAATATGTTTGTTGGTTTGTCTCCAATCATACATGGTAATTCTACTTCTCCAATGACCTTAGTTTTTGTATTGTTGAAGGCACTTAGTGTCTTTGTTCTTGAGATTTTGATTTTATCTCTGAACTGACCTACTAGGTTCATTGGGATAACATTACATTCCGCACCTGTGTCAAGGCTGAAATTTATCAACTGTGTTCCTACCTTTATTTTCATGTAGAAATCTTCTCTATTTCTTTTCACTTTCCTGCTTTTTGTTATGAAGTTGATGAACAACTCTTCTTCTTCACTGTCACTGGAGCTGTCACTTTCCTGTTCTACAATTCCTCTGACATTTCTTGATTTATTTCTGTGCTTTGTAGACTGCTTGTCTTGTTCTTTACTGTCAGATTTTTTCTTCTTAAGACAAAGTTTTGTGAAATGTCCTAAACCTTTACAGAAACGACACCTCTTGCCAAATGCTGGGCATGATTTAGGTCCATGCTTTGTGTCACACCTTTTACAATGGAATAGTTCTTCATTTTGGTGGCTTTCCTTTTCTGGATACTTTCTCACAAAATTTACACAACTCTCTGTTTTAAGCACTTGTAACTGTTTTGTAGTTACTTCACTTGCTCTACATATAGCTAAAGCATTGTTCAGAGCTAGGACTTCTTCGGAGATAAGTCTCTCTCTTAGCTTATCATCTCGAATACCTATAATAATCTTGTCCCGAAGCATTCTATCTTCCAGTGCTTGATAGTCACACTTTTTGACTTGGGACTGGATTTTTGTGAAGAACTCATCAAATGTTTCGCCTTCCTCTTGTTTGAGGCTATTAAATATCAGTGTTTCATAGGCAGTGTTTGTTTTCGGTGTGAAGTATGTCTCGAAGGAATTTTTCAACACTTGGAGAGTATCTTTTTTGTTTGTTGGCCAGTTGTTGTACACTTCAAACCAGTCAGTGCCGATAATCATCATGAATGCTGATATTTGTTGATCTACTTCTTTGCTTGTTAGGTTAATTGCCCTCTCAAACCATTCGAAATGTTGGAGCCATATTTTCCATTCTTTGGCTGCGTCATTTTCGATTTTTAATGATTTTGGGGGTTGCACATACGGAACTACCGGAGATGCAGGTGGAGCTGGTCCAGCAGTGTTTCTGCTAGCTGCTTGCTGCTGCACTGTTGTTTGCAATGTTGACAATTGGTTTTGTAAACTTGCAATTATCTTGTGTAGTTCGTCTGTCGTAGGCATTTTGATTATTCTTCTGACACCATGTAATAAAACTGTAGTATGTTAGTTTTATTATTCATTTAATAATGAAAGTACGTTAACACGTTTATCTGTCTATAATTTATTAATGACAGTGATCTTCATTATATGTCAAATGTCCTTCATCTGTCATGTCAGTCATGACAGTTATACAGTGTTGCCACCATATTATTACACATTATTTGTTTCAGGAGATTATTGATAACACAAAATGATGATATCATCAGAACAGAGATATTTTACCCAAGATATTTTGGCTTCTTTGGAAATTATGAAAAATTGTACACATGCATACTTGAACTTTCAGTAGATTCAATAATGGTTGATGATACCTATAAATACATGAATCATATCATTGATAGTAAAAGTACTGGACATGAAATATTAATACATTGTTTGTTTCAGAAGGTTATGCAAAACACAAACCTGAATATATGTTCATTCCAAGATAGTTTTGCTCCTTCAGAACCTATAAAATATTGCATGAAGGCTTCAACTTCCAGTTGATTATTCTGCATCAGGAATGTCCAGAGTTCAGAAATCAAAAACAACATGGAGAAATACTATCAATAGGCAATAACTTCTAGTAGTGCTCAACAAGAAGCTGAAACATTTCTTCAAAATGGAAATTGGAATTTTTCAGAATAAGTTATGAATAATAGAATGTAAGTTTTTCATTTGGTTTTTCATTTGAACCTATTATAAATAGAGGGAAATTTTGCAAATATCTTGAGATCCATATTATTTTGGAGAAATCATCATTTGCATAATACAAGGTGAGTCAATAGTGTGTTATCCTCATATATTAGCCAAACCATCAGATAAATAGAGACAATTCAAGTACAACAGTAATAGGGTTTCATGAGAACTTTCACATTAAATTGTTTTCATATATATCTGTAGGGTGTTCGAATTCCAAGATATATTGACTGATGATTGTTTTTTTCCAAATGGGACACCCTGTATACTATTGCATTTTTAGGTTCTTCCTGGAGAGCTGATTCCATCAATGTATCATACTTGGGGTCTAGCGGGAATGATTACAGAGATATAGGGTGTTCAAAAACAAGATTTTTCAATTTTAGGATTTTTTTTGTGGAAACTATTTAATATTGGTCAAAACGGCTCACATATCCTAATAAACTTCCGAATCAAAAGTTATGACAGGTACATGTAAGCCGTTTTGACCATTAATGAATAGTTTCGACACAAAAAATCCTACATTTGAAGAATCTCAATTGTCAACACCCTATATCCCTGTAATAATTTTCACGTACTATAGACACCAATAAGTGTGATGCATTGATGGAATCAACTCTTCAGGAAAAACTCAAAAATGCAATAATATACAAGGTGTTCCATTGAAAAAAACCAATCATCAACCGATATCTTGGAATTCAAACACCCTATAGATATGAAAACAACTTCAGGTGATTGTTCTTATGAAACCCTATTACTGTTGTACTTGAATTTTCATTTTTTATATCTGACGGTTTGGCTAATATCGGAGGAGAACACACTATAGTGACTCATTCTGTATATGAATAATATTCTCCCATAAATCTTGAACCTCCTTGAAACATCATCAAAAACCGCCTCAAGTTGTTACCATGATGTCCTGAGGTTGTCTCAAATGATTTTATAGGGATGTTCTGAGACGTTATTAGTATGTAGAGAATGGTAACAGGAGGACGTCTTGAGAATGTCCTCAGGCTCGCTCTCGACGTCCTGGGGACATGATTGTGAACGCCTCAGAAGGGCCTCAAAAGGAATTTGTGCTATCTGGGGTTGGTCAGATGAGTCACTTTGGGCTTCGTCTGATTCAGATTCTACTTGTTTCTGTAGTTTCTTCCTTTCTTCGTGTATCTGATCTTGAGACTTCTGTCATCAGTATGGGAATGTACTTCAGTTAGTAATTTGATGAGTGCAGTAGTGTCTTTGGTGTAATCTTTTGAAACACTCAATGCATCTTTTGAGCCGTAAGCGTTTTCAAGTAGATCTTCGAGTTGTTCTGCGTCGATTATGCAAGGTAATTGTTGTTTGTTCAAGATGCTACTTATGTTTTTCAGTTGTTCAGGTCCAATTGTGAAGTAAACATCATCTTGTTCTTGTTTTTTCGTTCTTGATATGTCAGTTCGAGGAACAGAAGAAGTTGGAACATCTTCCGATGTTGATGTCAGAATTTCCGATACAGTTCGTTTGCTAGTGAAAGAATTCGTTGGGTTAGAGGACTCATCTGAGGTGGTTGAAGCAGTAGCAGCAGTATCGGTTGAGATAGTGTCGGGGGTAGTTGTTTTACTCATTGTGGAATGTTCGGCTGTGAGTTGGGGAGGTTGAGGGGGAAAGGTTGAGGGTGGGTTGGTTGGGCAGTCGGATGCAATGTGACCTGTTTGTTTGCATTTAAAACAGGTTTGACCATCGCGGGCTAGAAAAATGCGATGAGTTGAATCATCACGCGCTAGTTCGATCGACTCAGGAATTTCCAGATCTTCTGTTGGTGTGATATACACTTGACGTCTGAAGCTGGGGATATGATGTGGAATAGTAGGACTGATGTTTGATATAACTAGGCGATCTGATGAGGTGATTAATCTTCGGGCTCTAACGGTCTCATCACTGATAGTGATGAACCCATGGTCATTCAAGAATTCATCCACAGTATCCTTACTATTTAGATATATTCAGATTTCATTGCTGGATATCCTGGAGAAAAAAATAATAATTCTTGTATTAACAACGAGTCCCAACTGAAGGAGGTTATCTTGTAGTTTTGTGTTGCCAATAGCATTGAAAACGGTAGTTTGATCGTTGGTTTGAAATTCAGCTAGGGAATGTTGGCTTAATGCTGCTGAGTATGATCGTGTAGTTGAATTTTCAGAGATTTGGGGGGTATGAGAAGTAGAGCTTTGTGAAGATATGTCGAGCTCAGGTTGAATGATTTTCATAGTGTACTCGTCGAAATTCTCATAATAATTCAAACCCTCAGCGCGGTCCTGACTCTCAAATAGTGTTGTTGGGCCAAGTTTTTTCTGGAAGTAGTTTTTCTGTTATTATCTGATAATGGTAAGCCAGATGGAGGCATTATTCCAAAGATAACTTTACTATAATTTGGTTCTGTACTCACTAATGTACTAACTGAGATATTGAAAATCTCCCTATGACATCTTACACTTTTTAGAATTTTCTGTACTAGGATAACTGCAGTATTCGCAAATATAACGGAGCTGTTAGGCGTATTGCGGACAGGTCCGGACTCATTTTCTATATTTGAGATAATAAATTCACAAGAATTGCATCAATTACGTACGTTCACCTGAAGAAGCTACTGTCTTAGCGAAACATGTCGTGTGATTGAGAAAGAATTTTGCGGAATTCCAATCGTTTCATGAAGTTTTTTACATTTACTATGGATCTTCATCAAGTAACGGCCAAGTCAATACAAAAAATTGTATTCTTTCGAATTGACTTGGCCGTTACTTGATGTGATTCTATGGGTAAATGGAAAGAACTCAGCAAACGACAAGATTTGTATTTCCCTACCTACACGGAAATCTGTGAAGATGACAACACTGTAAAGATGTCACAAGGATAGTTAAATTTCCATGGATGTCATTAAGAGTATAAAGACCATGAAATCAAAATGTATATGGAATATCCGCCAGATGCAGAAGAGATAGCAAAAACTGTTTATACATTATCGTAATAATCTCAATTATTTTCATCCCAGCAGTAACCCCTTTTCAATCCCACAAATCCATATTTGGAAGAGTTCAATTTCAATAGTGACGAATCACCATGAAAATTGCTCTTCCACTCAATCTCGAACGTATCGCTCGATGCTTCTCTTGAGAATATAAAGGTGATTATTTATTTCCAATTGGTGAGTGAAAAAGAGGTGAACAAGATCGCTAAATGAAAGTTATAATTAGCGTTGATTTCGAACATGGGGATGAGGAAGGTGGTTTGAATATCAAAATCAGTTATCGCAAAAGAAATTCAGTAAAATCATTTCTGAACCGATATAGATTTATCTGTGTGATAGAATCAGGTATGCTGTTATATATTCGAAAAATCTCTGAATAATGAAGAAGTCATTTGGCCATTGTACTTCATATTGATTTCATGCACGTCAGTTCTGAGAGAAATTATTCCATGCAGGTAAGGAAGGGGTTTTCAAAGATAATCTTGTGGAATAAAGTGGCAGCATGAAGTTTTCTTCTATATTCCATTTCTTACCATTCGATAGCTTTCAATTCGTGAGATATTCTTCCTCACTTCCGGATATAAGAATCAATTGCAGGCACGAATTCTGAACCTTCCGGATTTTTTGTTTGAACTGAACTGTTGAACATGGGCCATAACGTATATCGGCATAATAATTGGAATCAGACAGGACCAAGACTCTACATGAAGTTGTCCCCACTTCAGATGGTACAAAGTACATGTTGTCATGAATACCTCCGAGTAGATGATATGCACGATTGACAAGATGAGCTTCATGCTTCTCAAATCTCAAATCTTCATCTGGAATTACCCCTGAGCTTTTGCTTCATGTACTACCTCCAAATGCTCATCATTATTCTCCATATTAGTGTGGAATCGATCAGTACTCCTTGTAAGCTTGGGACCAAGAACAATGAATTCAGATTCACTATCATTCATCATCACACAATAGTCAGAGGCATTCTCTACAAAGGAATTCAGATCACTATTCATTCTTCTACAAGCATCATCCACCATGTCCAACTATAATACAACTGAGTATCGTCCGCACAGAGATGCATATCACGAAACTGGAGGCATTTCATGAGCTGCGAGGTATAAATGGCGAATAGCAAGGGTCCAAAAATAGAACCCTAGGGCACTGCACAACGTGGATTCAAATATCGTGAGTGATGTCCATCAATAGATATACTCTGTTGACGGTCATTGAGGAATATTGTGATTAGAGATACTGCACTGTTGGATATTCCAATGTTACCCAATATTGACAACTTTGAGTTGTAGTTGATTCATTCTGCAGCACATTTTCTTTCGAGAGAATATTGATATTTTATAATTTCGTGGGGAGTATTGGAATTCTAGAGGAGTGGCACTCCTAGCATTATCAGAGGAAATTTAATCAGGTGAGTCGAATTCCGCAAATGCAGTGCTAATAAACTGAATGTTGATAGTTGAGGTTGGATCAAACTCTAACTATGTTGAATCCTTTATAACTTGTAGTGATTTCTTAAACTCCGAGGAAGCATGCAAAAAAGTGATCGTTGCTACTAAAATGAGTTCAAATGTTTTGACATAATGATCTGCAGAATTCTTGTCTACAGGTTTCTGATTGTTCGCATGAAGAATCAATCCTGAAAAAAGTCACAACACTTGGGAATTCGAAGGAAATATCATGAATTTTCGGAAATCAATACTAGCTACATTCAAATTATCTTTAAGTGTCATAATCATATTCACAAGTGTTTAATAAATTGAACAACCACAGTGGTAGATGAAGGAAGGAGAACAACTAATTTTCTGGCTTATTTCACGCAGAACATCAATTAGGGCATATCCTCATGAAATCTATGCAGTGATCCGTATACACTGTATCTCAGTTCAAACGCCTTTCCCTATATCTCAGCTATTTGGCGTGCGATTCCTACCACATTGAGACTGATAAGAATAACTATCGACTAGATCGGCCGTGACGTTCTCATAGAAATAAAAATGGGTTTATATTGAAATAAAGAGGATCGACTTTTCATGAAATCATATCAGGAATTCTTTCACACAAAAACTACCAAACTCCTCTCATGATATTGTTCTTTATGGTTCTAAACTTACATGAGTAAATTTTTTTGTGATTTATATCTAAGGTTTCAAAAAAAAAAAATAGACACATCTTTAGTTAGATTTCCGAAGGTGACAAAATGGGTATATCAATTGTTTTCTATTCGAACCATGATTTTCTACCTACTGACGCAATTGAACGTGCGAAAATTCGTATTCAATTTGAATTCACTATTTTTCCGAGGCTTGAATTGAATCAACGCAAACTCAGGTCTGTTGATATGGAAAAGAGATATTTCTTGAATATGGAGGTTCGAGAGCATGGGGAGAAATGATATGAAATTATTGAGAAAAAAAATCTCAGATGAATTATGAACATAAAAAAATCAATATCAACTCTTTTTCAGTTCATGCAACAGTAAGAAACTGCTTTTCTGGCTATATTCCACGACGAACATTGGATTATATCTATTGAACACACAAGATGAGAGTTCGAAAATAAAATATGGAATCTTCTGAAATCAAGAATCTAATTCTCTTTCAGACAAAAATATGAAATTATTTGTAAAAAATCATCCTGATGTTATTTCAAGAAAATCGACCAATTGTTATTACAATGAGAAAACACGGTACTGTTCACTAGAAAACTGATCATATCAATGGTTATTCATACCAGCCTCAATTTGGTGAGAATCGCATGACTAATAGTTGAGATATAAAGAAGGGCTGTTTGAAGTAATTCAGGCTGTAAAAGAGTAGTGTATTACACTTCGTTCTTACCTTACAAAGATAGTGCATGAAAGCACCTCAGAGATGGTTTCCTCCACGTACTCTACACTTGATTCCATTCGTACTCGTTATCAGTCGTTATCAGTCGTTGATATTTCCTAGCTGCTATCTCTAATAGTTCAGGTATACAGTCTATTGATGAGATTCAGTATCTCATTCAGCTCATGAAAACAAAATAGTCTGAAATATCGACTCTCCAGAAGACATGGTCTTTTGTCAGCGCTTACCGTAAATCACGATTCTGATTTCGAATATTCATTCACGATTTTGGTTGTCTGAAATGGTAGCCAGCCTTTTTCGATATCTTCTAGCGTACGGATATTCTACAGTTTAACGAGGAGGATTTCACTATTCCATTCATTATTCTATTCATTACATAATGATCTTCTCCTTGTGAACTTCCTGGCCTCTTGTCAGATGGCATACAGCCAATTACATTATGATCGTTATTCTTATTCTCGATCAATAATATCACTGTCAGATTCTTGACTGTTGACAGATGATCGATACATGCGGATGTTCTGCTTCCTCTTTAGAAACAATATCATTCTTTTCACATTTTTATGACAGTTGTTCGTTTTTCGTCGACCATCAAATGATCTCAATATTGAAAAATCATGTGAACCAGATGGAAGATCGAGGCCAGCACGTCATGTGGATATTCGAAATGATGACTTTTTGTTCAAATCGCATAGTATGTGTGATAACCCAATTGTTTATGTCTCCTTCGATGATGTCGTTAATACATCCAAGGAGAAGATGATTTGGTCACTGGCCGACCGAATACTAAAGTCATGTCTGCGTAAATCTCCGTTTGAATATGTGTTGTTGAGTCAACACGGCCTCAACCACCGAAAAAATATGTCCACGAAAACTGAATGGAATGTTCTCAATAGTTACCAATATCAACAATATGACGTAATTTTCTGTCAAAACGAGAATATTTTCCATATTTCTGTGATGGTGGAATACTATCAACAGGTTTGTGATCAGATTTCATTATAATAAAGTAATTTTCAATATACCCTCTGTATTCATTCACCGCGTAGACCATAGCAAGAGCTTCGCGCTCTGTCCTATTGTAATTTCGTTCTGCTGCTGTA